ACACCAAATCCATCAAAACCCAAAAGGATCTACTTCATAGACATGGAGAAGTTCTTCACAAATGTGATTAAAGTATATNCAAACAATCATCAATACACCAAATCCATCAAAACCCAAAAGGATCTACTTCATAGACATGGAGAAGTTCTTCACAAATGTGATTAAAGTATATAAAAACATAGATTCAATCCAAACCCGGATCTTGAGTGAGGAAGGAATGATGAAATCCTTGTGCTTGTGTTCTTCCAACTCCTCCTTAGCCTCCTTGGCCTCCTTAGGTCGAACATCTGTCAAAAGTTCCGAAAATGATATTTTCCCGTGTATTTAAGCCATCCCCCAATAAAACCCGAACGAAAATACCCTTTTTAGCGGAAATGGGACGATACTCTAATAAATTTGTACTACCGCGCCACATGCCGCGCCGCACCATGCGATGCGGTAGTGGATATTTCCAGTACGATTTGCAATTTGAGTTCTAGGCAGCATTTGCACTAGCGCGTCGCACAGTGCATGGCATAGTGTGTCGCATTAGTGCAAATTTCTCAGAGTACGGATTTATCTTCGATTTTGACGTCTAGACTTGGTCCTCGACCCCAAAAACGATCCCGACTTAATCCTTTGGGCTTTTACTCAGACTTCAAAGCTCAAAATCTCTCGAATTAGCTCCATAATATCTACATCGCTCGGAATCACTCTTACAAGGCATAAAATACACAATAAGTGCAAAACACTAGCGATTAAAGCTCAAACTCAGTTAAAGTGCAGTAAATTAGAGTGAAATAAGCGACTAAGACATGTAATTATAGCCTACCATCATTTGCCTATACATAAAGGGTCTTAAAACGCTTTTACATGGACAACGCGTACCCATTGAGTACACCAATGATTGTTCGATCACTTGAAGTGAATAAGAATTTGTTCCAACCTCCAGAAGAGGATGAGGAACTCCTTGGTCCCGAAATACCTTATCTTAGTGCAATTGGTGCACTTATATATCTTGCTAATACTACAAGGTATGACATAGCATTTTCTGTTAATTTACTAGCAAGATATAGCTCTTCTCATACACGGATACATTGGAACGAGATTAAGCATATATTGCGATATTTAAAGGGAACACTTGATATGGGTTTATTTTATTCTAACAAAGGTAGTGCAGATCTTGTTAGTTATGCAGATGCAGGTTATTTATCTGATCCACATAAAGCTCGAACTCAAATCGGGTACGTGTTTACATGTGGAGGTACTTCCATATCATGGCGCTCCACAAAGCAATCTATTGTTGCTACTTCTTCAAATCATGCTGAGATAATAGTTATTCATGAAGCAAGCAGGGAATGCGTATGGTTGAGATTAGTGATTCATTTTATTCAAGGAAAATGTGGTTTGGAATGTGATAAAAGATCCACAATTTTCTACGAAAACAATGCTGCATGCATAGCCCAATTAAATAGAGGATTTATAAAAGGAGATAGAACAAAGCACATTTCACCAAAATTATTCTACACACATGATCTTCAGAAAAATGGTGACATTGATGTGCAACATATCCGTTCAAGTGACAATCCGGAAGATTTATTCACTAAATCTTTGCCAACTTCAACTTTTGAGAAGATGGTATACAAGATTGGAATGCGGAGATTCAAATATTTGAAACAAGGTTTTCATCAAGGGGAGTAAAATACGCGCTATACTCTTTTTTTCCTTACTAAGATTTTTCCCATAGGGTTTTCCTTATAAGATTTTTAATGAGACAATTAGTTATGCGTGTTACTAAATATGTGTACTCTTTTTCCTTTACTAGGATTTTTTTTTCACATAGTTTTTCCTAGTAAGGTTTTAATGAGGCACATTATCTTTTAGTGAACATTCAAGGGGCAGTGTTATAAATATATTATATTATGGATGTTCATTTAGTTTCCCATTGTAAATAAGCTTCCTGAAGAAGCTTATCCATATGAGACTCCACCGTAAATATATTTATCTATTTAGTACTCTATTGGAAATAAGCCTCCTAAAGAAGCTTATGCTTTCGGTACTCTGTTATGGATAAATATTACCCCCGGTAGAAGATTATCTATATCTGGTACAATAAGCTTATCTTTTCGGTACTCCGTTATGGATAAATATTATCCTCGGTAGAAGATTATTTATATCTGGTACATAGCAACTTACAAAAAACTTACACATCAACTTACACAACAACTTGGAGTAGCAGCTTACACAACAGCTTACAAGCAGCTTACACAGCAGCTTGCAGTAGCAACTTACAAGAATCTTACACAGCAATTTCCTTTCTTCTATAAATAGAGGAGATTTCAGTTTATTATGTACGTCATTTTGAAATTGAATAATATATCAGTTTCTCTCTATACTTATCTTTACTTTACGGTCTTTATTTTATAATAAATATATAGTTTTGGGTGTCTTTCTTTTTGAAAATAAGGTACATTGATATACACAAAACAGTCTATGCATTTTCAATGATGACTGATCATAACGCCATAACAAGTAGTAGAAATATACACGTAGTTATAGGAAAAGGCTGGATTATTTACCGTGAAAACTCTAGTTGCTTTTTGAAGGACGGCACATTCTTTGATCAAACTATTCTGGTAATTACAAAAAAAAAGTTACAACTTCCGTTTTAATTTATGTGAATATATTTCCTTTTTAGTATGATTCATTTCTATATTTGAAAATAATTTAATTTTATGCAATGATTTATAACCACACAAAATATTTGTTCTTTATTTTATACTACAAGTTCAAAAATCTTATTTTTTTTCTTAAATCCCGTACGTTCACATAAATTGAAACTGAGGAACTATTTTTTAATTATTAGAATAAGATAGTAGCTTTTTTCTTTTAATGATTGTTATATTCTCTATATCTATGTGGGAAAAAAGGAAACTGTTAATATTCGTTCAAGGCTTCAATCAAAGAGCACTACTCCAAATCATTGTTTCCTTTTTGGTAACGAAAGTAATACTCCCTCCTGACTCATATTAATATTTGTATTTATTAAAAATATTTGTCTCTAATTTGTTATTTTACAAGTTTAAGATAAAATTAATTATTTATTTTTTTAATAATAATTGTTCAAGACAGAGATAACATATAAATAGAATAAATATTTAATAAATAAAAATTATATGTAAGACATAAATAAAGTAAAATAATCCAATCACTTTCTTAATTAATACTATTTGTTAAGGGGGCGCGTAAGAGAAACATGTGACATACACAGTATGTGATAAGGAATTAACCAAGTAATTCGGGGGCGACAAATACAAATATAGATGAACCACAATCCCCTTCTTTGAAGCACAGAATTTCAAAAGGAGTGAAACAAACACTGTAACGTAGTTAAAGATGCTTCTGTGCTCACCTTCTTCCATTTCTGCTCACAATCTTAGCAGAAACAGAACCAGACCTTCGCCTATCAATTCTATGGCAGTTGACAGAAGCAGCTCCCGCGTTGCCACAACTGCTTCGCAGCGGAGAAACGGCACGTCAGCTCTCGAAGCTCGCATCTCCCTCGTCATCGCTCTCGCCTCCCAAACCTCTTCTCTCTCTCAGAAACGTAATTTCTTCACTCCATTTCCTAATTCCTCATTTTAATCGGATTTTAAGCATTTCTCTCCCAATTCTTTTTTTGATTTGTTTAAAACATTTCGTCCAGTGCTTCCAGGACTCTTTTAAGTCAGATTAGAGAACTTCTTAGAAAAGAATTAATTTAGTTTAAGAGACTAATTATTTACCAGTGTTGGAATGAACTTGTGCTTGACGGCTAAAGCGGAACGGATATAAATGATTCTATGTAGTCCTCTGGCTAGTTTAGGAATGAGAACCTAGTCAATTGACTAATTGAGTAATTGCTACTTATATTGTTAAATTTTTTATTGTTCGCAGTTCTGACGGAATTGGCTGGTGAAACCGCGAAATACGTGTTACCGAAGAGGATATTCGAAAGTCGGACTTTAGAGGAAGCTTTGATGTCTGGTATTCTTTCTCAATCTTTTCTATGATTGTTATATCCTCTATTTTAATAATAATGAGAATTTAGATGGTTAAAAATAATGACTAGCTCCCATCGCTGTTATCTTCTTGAAGTGCCGGATCTGGAGACAGTGAAATTCAATGTTTTGAAACGCAGTGATCAGTATGAAATAAGGGAAGTTGAGGTATTTTCTCTATGATTCTATTTATAAATTACTAATGTTGTCATTCCTTTTTTTTTTTTCCCAGTAGAGTCTAGATTTGTATGCATCCATTCTGCAACTTTATCGGGGGAGTGGTTCCAGACGAGAGAGGAGCAATATTTGACGGGAAAAAAAAGGTTTAAACCTTCATTAAAAAAATGTTGAAGATAGAGGGCAAACTTGTTTTGAGAACACCTTTAGAATACTACTTACATAGATACAAATATTAGGCAAAGATACGTTTATTATATTTGTTCACACCAGCTAAATATTCTCAAACAAAGATTAATCCTTTAGTTAGAATTTCTTGATATATGGTAGAATGCTCCGTCTCAGAAAGTAATCAAGGGTACTAATACAAGAAAGCATTAGTTGGTAAAAGTTACTAGGCCATGTAATTAGATACAAGAGACATTTGTGAAGATTTTGTTGTAACTTGATTCTACATAATGGGCCTTAGTTCATATTTGTGTTTTCCCTTATTATGGTCATTAAAAAAAAAAAAACACAAGTACCTGGGGATTGAAAATGCAATTCTGAAAGGTACAATACATATGGAAGTGGAACTGGCACAACTGGAGACTGATAGTTATAGTGGGGAGTCAGCATGTCTATCAATAAGAAAGAAAAAGAAATAAACGAACCTGAAAGAGATTTGGTATTCAAAAGTATTTTGGAAAAGAATGAAATTGACAGAAATAGACTAGTGATCACAAATCAGGAGTTTCCTCAATTTTGAGGAACATGTTATTGACTCGGTGTTAAAACATGATGAGAAAGCAGAGGTGCCAGTTTTTTGAAATAAACATATGATGTTCTAACTTTTGGTTTGATAACCTAGAATTAAGCATATCATAAGCTCTTTCCATGAACATTAAAGCCCTGGATCCTGATACTTGAAAGTCATTCATTCACAAATTGTTTTTTGGCAGATCTACCTTTGTATTAAAATTGAATTCTGGACCATCAGTCACCCTGTTATTTATGGTGCACATATTTCTTCTTATGTGTATATGCTCTTATTCTTTGCTTTTTCGGAAACAGCCTCTACCCCCGGGTAGGGGTAAGGTCTGCATACACACTACCCTCCCCAGACCCCATACACTGGTTGTTGTTGTTGTTGTATATGCTCTTAAATTCTTGTCCTCAGTTATTCCTAACCTCTCTTAATAGCATTTCTCTTGATTATAGATATGCTGTATTATTAGAACTTTAATCACCGATATCTCTTTATGTTGTCATGTTGATAGTTATTCTTTCCCTTCTTGTCCTCTTAACAATAACTCTGAGTTTTTTATTTTTTATTTTGATAAAGTTCATTATAAACTCTGAGTTAATTTATCTAAAGTAATATTGCGACTTTGAACAGCCTTACTTTGTTGCTGAGGCTACAATGCCTGGGAAGTATGGGTTTGACTTTAATGGTGCATCTCAATCCTTCAACACATTGGCTGAGTACTTGTTTGGTAAGGTAGTTAAAGGTACTTATAGAGAGTCAAACTTAGATCGCCTCCAACCACATTGTAATGGTGGTCTTCTTTGGCTCTGTTCTATTTCTTGGTGATTTCCAGAACACGAAGAAGGAGAGCATGGCGATGACAACACCAGTTATCACTCGTAGAACTCAATCTGATGGGGAGAGGATGGAAATGACTACTCCAGTGATAACTAAACGGGTACAGCTCTTCTACTGGTTGTTCCTTTTTCCCTTTAGTTCTTTTGCAATGTATATTTACTATGTCATTCGTGATATATGGTGTGGTTACTAATATGCTTGCATTTTTGTATGACATGGTGTTACTCAAAATATTAAACTGATAATATATTGAAGTTGAGTCACCACATAACTTGGGAAATGGTAAATGAAGAACTACTCTAAAATGACCACATATCGTCAAATGGAAATACTGACTTTACTACTGATTCTGTTGAAAAGAAACATCGTCTGATTACCTATCACTAGGAAAACATTTAAGCTCTTGATTTAGAATTGATAAAAGATGACATGTGCTTTAGATTGAGATTTGAGGATCTTTCAATTGTATGCTAGGCTTATACGCCAGCGGGGGTACATACAAAACGTAAACATTCTGGTTGCTTAGAGTTTGAATCTGTACTACTCTAAGATAGTATTGCAAATTCTGAGAGAGTGGAAACTGTTAGATTCCAGGTTTTATTATGTTGCATGGATCCTTCAAACGGGTGTGACATGGGTGTGGGTACTTCTTGCAGGTTCTTCAAAGTAGAAAAGAAATGCACGAACTCCTATCAAATACTTACATACACACATGGTGTACACCTATAGGTTTGTCCATATAATGCAGATGTTTAATCTTAGTCCAGAACAAGTGTCGAACGGAATAACAGTCACAAAGAACAATCTTCATAATGATAAAGATTATGGTCCGAATAAAATACACCCCCATATAAATGATAACACATTTTCTTGTAATTCTTAAGTAGATCTCCGAGAATAACATTTTGTAACTNGCGCCGCGCCTCCACCACCACCAACAAACCTAGTAAAATCCCACAAGTGGAGTCTGGGGAGGTAGCGTGTATGCAGACCATACCCCTACTTGCGGGAAGGTAGAGAGGATGTTTTTCTAATTTGGAATGTCATGCGCTCATATTTTCACCAAAATTACACCCACTGGAATCTCATTAAGAATTTCATTAGGTGGAAGATCAAGGAAAGTGGAGGATGTCCTTTGTCATGCCCTCAAAGTATGGTTCAGACTTGCCACTACCAAAGGATTCCTCCGTAACTATCAAGGAGGTGCCTAGGAAAACTGTCGCCGTTGTTGCTTTTTCAGGTTTGTGATTTCAGATTTTAGCATGTCAATATAAAGTTCTATTTTGTATGATGATGATATGAGTTGAGCTTACAGAAAGAAGTGAGGATTCATAGCGCCGACCTCAACTTTGTGGGACTGAGGCGTAGTTGTTGCTGCTAATATAAAATTCTAGACAGATTTGCATTTTAAGTTAATTTGAAATTCAATATCCTAGTAATCGGAAAGCAGAGCTCTGTCTCATTGGTCTATGGAAGTAAATCTTGTTTAAGTTTACTTAGTGCTTTATTGATAGCTTCTCTTGTTATGACATGAGAGAATTTTTCATCTAGTTGTATTTTCTGTGTTTTTCCTTTGATGTCCTATATGCCTGCTGTGGTAGATAGCAATTTCCATTCAGAGTTCAAAAGCAAAAACATTTAGGAATTCTATTTTTGAAGTTTTACATCCTAACTTAGCTAGTTTTCTCCCATTCGATTTCAACAAAGGTTTTGTGACTGATGAAGAAGTTAAAGCCCGAGAATCAAGACTCCGTGCTGCGCTAAAGGGAGATGCAGAGTTTCGGGTAAAAGATGGTGCCTCAATAGAAGTTGCACAGGTATATTCGTAGAACCATTTCAATAGTACTTGTAATTCTCCTGGGGAACATATTTTGGCCTAGTGTAACCCCCAAATGACATACTAGTTGTGTGTTTTTTATACTTCTGCTTGCAGTATAATCCACCATTTACTCTTCCGTTCACACGTCGGAATGAGATTAGCCTGGAAGTTGAAAGGGAACAGGAATAGCTAGTCAGTGTGCAGTATATTGCAGATAAATCCGTGCACTGATGAAACCAGAGAAACAAAACATATATGGTGTAAATAAATTATATATATATATGTATATATATTTGGTGATTGCTTGACATTTTGGTAACAAGGTTATGTACATGCACAGAAATGTAAGGTCATTTATGCTTCAACTCTATAATAACACGTTGTCTTTAATACTCTTCTCGATCGTCCATTTGAATTCTATTGGGCATATCTTGGGTAATATTATTAATCTCCCGGAAGCTGATCGATGTTTGAATAGCAGATAATATGGTTTTGTCCTGGGATACCTTGGAGCAATGGTAAAGTTGTCTCCGTGTGATCTATAGGTCACGGGTTCAAGCCGTGGAATCAGCCACTGATGCTTGCTTCAGGGTAGGTTGCCTACATCACACCCTACATAACGACAATGCAACAACAACTAGGTATAAGTCTCAATCTAGTTAGAAGTTGCATATGAATTATCAATATTCATACTATGTCCAAATATTTTAATGATTAATCATAAATTGACTAGATTTAAGGTTGTCGTTAACATACTGCAACCATCCTTCTTTGTCATGGTTTGAGATTGATTATATGAGCAAGTACATGCGTAATTTACAATAATCTTTAACTTTTTCAAAATAGAAGAGTTGTAATTTGATTGTCAAGCACATCTCAATCTCCCTTTAAGGTAGCCCGAAGAAGTAAAGCTGACTTGAGTTCAAACTTATTAAACCTCTGAATCTCCCTTGTCGCCTGTAGGATAGCACGAAGATGTGAGCTGATTTGCGATCAGACCAATTTTTTCAAATATCTCCGTTAGGATTGAGTTTTCCTTCTGAGTGTCAATCTAACCTTAGTTGTGAAATATCTTTCTCATTTCTATTGTAGTGATGAATTGGTGAGAGGAGCATTACCTTGTCCCAATTTTCATTGTTATTCTACCTTCACTCGAGAGTCCTCCAATTTTCCTTAAAAAATGCAATTTATTATTAGTGGAAACTTTTCATGTGACACTAAATCATGTTCTTATTGTTAGAAACGTGAATATATGCACTAGGGAGGGTGTGTTTATAAAATTAATTTGGCCTTTAGATGTGGTGAAACCATCATTAGGAGCTCTCCATCATGATGTAAGGAAGTTGCATACGGTGCAGTGGAAGCTGCTCTAGTAACAGGTAATCCATTAATTTCTGTCCATATTTACCAAATAATATTATGTCCTAACAATTAGCTGTGTGGTGTAGTTAACCAGAAAAGTGCAGGAAAATGCATAACATCTACCTATCTATAGGAATATGAATTCTTTTTTCTTTTTGGTATTACCAATAGTATTCGGAACTCACTAGCTTGCCGCTCCCCATTCAGGGAAAGTGATCCTATGCCTTCATATATTTTTAAATAACTTGATAAACCATTGCGGAACAATATTAGCTTCAACTTAGGTCATGTGCTAATCTCTATATTTTTTGGGATTTCAGCGAACAAAATTACTTGCTACGATAGTTTTTTCTGCATAGAATTTGGGTAGGACCCTAAAATCTTTTCTACTTATCTCATTTCTATTACCAACCAACTTAGTACCTCAGTATTATTTGATGACTTTTCTGGTGTCAAGGGCTGAACTAGTCACTCTCACCCATTAATCTATGGCTGCTGCCAGTCCACTTAGGTTACCTTTTTCTTTTCTTCCCTTACATTACCCAAAGTCTAAGGGCACCCAATGGCTAATACATGAGCATGGTTTTGCTCCACCCTTAAACATAATAGGACAATATATAGTTTCTGTTTAGGAGCCCCAAAGCAACGGTAAAGTTATCCCCGTATAGGTCACAGGTTCGAACCGTGGAATCAGCCACTGCCTATATCACACACCTTGGGGTGCTGCCCTTCCCTGGATCCTGCGTGAACGTGGAATGCTTCATGCACCATGCTACCATATAATTTCTCTTTAAATTTGTCTCGTAAAGTATAGCTACACGCTTAACCTTTGCAGATGACCTCTTATTTCCAATTTTTTTTCGGAGTAGAACTAATATCCCCTCAAGTAATGTATTATTCACTCATACAAGGCGCGAGTGACGAGCGAAAAACACACATAAACTATCTTTACGTGACCATGTCCTTCAAAGAATCAAGGGGAGGTTTTCCAGCAAAAAATGGAGTAAGGTTGAGGACTAGCTGTAGATGAGAATTCCAGACTGCTTCTTTGGTGTGTTCATTCATAATTCATTCTAGTGGAGTATTTTTTATTAACGATGTTAATATAGTAAGTAACAAAGCGCTTTAGAAGTAGTAGCAAGATTGTAAATATATTAAAATGGCAAAATATCTTGGGACCCCCTAAACTTAACATTTTATTTGGTGCATGAACTATTTCTGGTCCTGATTACTCCCCTGAACTTTGCAGTTTATTAACTTTGGCGCCAGAACTTGCGTAGGGGAAATTAAAGTGGAGATATTGAAGAAGACTAGCTACTGAATTTGCAAAGTTTCACTTGAACTAAGAAAACAAGTACTTCTGTTTCTAGGAGGAGAAACTAAAACAGTAGTACCTGTTTTCTTGGTACCTCTCTGGTTCTTAGCATCTTACTATAGTTGACTATAGTTATATTACAAGTTTACAACATGGGAAACTAAAACCCAAAGAAGACTAATAAGCTAGTATATAAAAGGCAGCCCGATACACAAGGCATTCCGCGCTCACACATGGTCAGGGGAAGGGCCAACCTAACCTAATGCAATCATTAGTGCCTGCTTACACGGCTCGAACCCATGACCTTTAGGTCACACGGATGCAATTTTACCGTTACTCCGAGGCTCCCCTTCACTAATAAGCTAGTATAATTCAGGTATACTATCTAAAGCAGGCTTCCATCGTATACAATGATCATTGTCATCATCAGTGAACTCATCACTCTTGATTATCTCAATATTGGAGTTGTGTTCTTTCTGAAGTGGATATTGAACCATTCCATCAACTGTTAATCCTCCTCCTTCACTCAAAAGAGCCTGCAACTCTTTCTTACTAATGACAAGCTTAATCCTTAAAACCTGATCTGAACCTTTTTTGCTACTTTCCTCAACTTCTTCTGCAAAAGTGACCTTCTTTTTGACAGGCACTTTTGTTGGTGGCTCTTGTACTAGAGGCAACACTTCATTGTCTTTCTTCACCAGAGGTTTATATTCAAGGACTTTCCCATTTGTTTTCATTACTTTGACAACCTTTTCTTGCAAAACTATGCAATTTCCCATTGTTTTGCTATATGCTGTGTTTGATAAGGAATGAGGAACTTATGGAATGCAAGTACAAGTTTGGTTTTTGAGTAAGCTTGTTTAGAGCATACCAGTGTTCAATTTATAAGGAAATGAGATACAAGAATGCCCCTAAGATTTCTGATAATTATGGAAAAACCTTAGCACTTTGGACCCCATATTGTTGATTTTGTTGTTTGTGCAACTGAGGTGATCATGATTTCTGTGGAAGATCTTTGTTCACACCTTTCTAATATATGCAATTTAATAGCTAGGTGAAAGAAGCAAGTCTGCTTATTTTCTTGTTTTTACCAAGTACTAAATATAAACGTGTTAAGTACTGTAATTACTTGTCAATGGTAAAATGATTATCAGAAAACTNTATATATATTCTTTTCTCTTTTTTCTTTTGTCGTTGTACAAATTACTTACTATTTTCCTATTGAGATAATGGCTATTGTTACAACGTCAAAATCCTCAGCAGACACCATTTTTACAGTGAAAGATGATGAGTTAAATCAAAATAGGACCATTAAAGCAAAAATAAGTTGGTACTCTCAGTTGACTCCTTTTCTAGTGCGGCATTGACATATTTGCTTGGTTCTTTTTGGCAGTACTACATATATCTTTCTAACTGTTAGTTTCTGATACACGAGGTCGGTTTGGGCATCCTAAAAACATCATTGCTTTTCTAAATTCTATGGTGATATTGTACTTCATGTTATATGAAGCGTCTTTTCAGAACTTTGGCTCAGACATAATATATGTATAAAAAAATTCATTAAATAAGTAAAAATAATAGATTTTAAATATTCCAGTAAATCAAATGGGTCGCAATAGAATTTGAAATTTGAACTCATAACATACGACTCCTAAATGTGCCTCCGCGTCAACTTCCTTTGCATCTCTTAATTGAATTTTGCTCAATTGTTTTTGAAACTACATTTCAAGTAACTAATATGTGATTGAATGAAGTTTGAGATATATTTGCATAATCGATATCGACTAGCTTGAGATTGAAGCTTAATTGATCGAGTAACTGACACTTAATCACCTAACTTAATAAGAATAGACAAATATGTTAAGAATACAAAATTAAATATATTAGATTAATTAGTACATATTCTTCTTAACTAGATTTGCATCTTGGCATACTTTTTATCAATCCCGTTCTCTTCATTCTCTTCTTCAGCAGCGAGGAACAGAGGAACACATCATTAAAAAAATAGGAATTAGCAACGAACAAATTATATAGTTAAACAGTAAAATTTATCGCTAATTCTATTTAGTGATATGTTCGCAACAAATTATCAAAAAACATTTGTTAACTTCTAGTGATTTGTCGACAAATTAGCGATGAACTTCAAAGCTTATTCCAATTCTTTTAGTAATGACAAATTACAAAGTTTGTGATACCGATCCAAGTCCTACATCTTTAAGGCATGATTTATCAGCAGGACAAGTGTCAGTTTAGATTGGCTTTTCCTTTTTGTTTAGCCCTCAACCATCATATATAAATGTAACAAATGCGTACTTCTCCGCCCCCTAATTTAGACTATGAGACAAGTTTTCAGGATCTAAGATCCTTGTGATATTTCACATTTCGTATGAAAAGTGTCACTTATTTTAAGTTAGAGAGGGCCTATATGCTTTACCATTTAGGGGACGACAATAAGATACATATTATAGTTATTAAAGGAGAAGTTACGACAAAACAATGGTATTTTTAAAAGTTCGGAGGAGCAAGTATGGTCCATCTTGCCCCCTTAGTGATACTCTAAACTAGAGGTGTTAACCACACGGGTTGGTTAAACTAGAGGTGTTAATCACACGGGTTGGTTCGGGTTGGATGCAAAAAAAAAAATACAGCTCGTCCGGTTATTATTCCGGGCTGATAGTGGGCTGGATAAACGGGCTGAAAAATTCTGGTCTAACTAGGGCCTATCCGGGTTCGGGCTTAACGGGTCCGGGCCGTGTTACTTTTTTTTATTTTTTTTAATTATAGTATTTTTTTTTCTTATTCAATGTTATTGATACTTAACTTTAAAGTTTAAAGTTTTAAATTTGATATTTGAATTTTAAAATTTTAAAATTAAAATTTGAAAGTAAGTGGCTACAAAAAATTATTTAATAAGAGCAATAGGCAATATGTAAGGATCAAACTCCGAAGGCTTTCGTTTTATATTTTCATTGAATAATAAATAATACTTCAAATTAATTTACAAGTTTTATTTTGATTTTTTTTATTTTTGAACTTGCAAATTAAAAGTTTACAACAATTATAAAAAATAAGAAAGAGTACATCACATGCTTTGCATCATTTTTGTAAGTTCATCCATGTCAACATGAGGTTCTTGGTTTCCGGCATTGCTTGAATCAGAACCATAAACTATTATATCTCCAATTTCTTGATCATCCGCTTCATCTACCTCTTCATGCCCTTGATTTCTCCGTTCTGATCTTATCCAATCTCTGAAACACACTAAAATTTCCAAAGCGTTGCTGCCCAATGAATGACGAGTATCTCCTAGTTGTTGCCTTGCTTGATTTAATGCACTTTCTGATGCGACTGTTAAAATCTGCACATTTAGCATGTCTCAATCCATGGCTGAAAGAACATGAAATTGATTTGAGTTGCTCCTCCACCAACCCATCGATAGAAATTTCTTTGTGCGGGGGCTCTAGTGACTTTTACAAGTAGAATTGGAGTTCATCAATGTTCCTGCTACTGGTTTGTTGATGCTCTCCTAGTGTAGACCAAATCAAATAATCTTCAATACCATCATTATCCTCCAAAGCACCGGATGTAGATATTGAAACTGAACTTGAAGGAATATTTGCATTTACAGCAGCAGAAGCGTCAACAATGTTAGCATAATAATTATATAAAGTTTGTAAATATTTGTGTAGATCAGAAATACAAGTTTCAATATCAGGGGTTTCAGTTGGTGCAATATCCATATAAATATATAAAGCAGTGATTAATTGGCGACAAGTGGCCATTTTGATAGAATGGTTTAAAATAGCACCAATTAGGTAAATAGAGAGAATTGTGTAGAAATATTTCTTAAATTTATCTAGCATAGATTCAACAACAGAAGAATATCCTTCTTTCTACTTCAAATTATGGAGTAAAAGAGAAATTTCAGAAATATGAACTAAACCATTGTCAATAGTAGGATAATAAGCTCCAGAAAACTCAAGTGTAGCCACATAAATTTTTTGTAAATTTTTTACAACATCTTCAATGACATCCCAAGTTCTAGATGTTAGCAAACGGTTAGGAACGGTACAATGAGAATTAGCAACTTCAGTTATAGGCATTTTATATTTATGACAACATCTTAAGAATAAATAAGCATAATTTCACCTAGTAACTATTTCTTCAGGCATGGGTCTTGGTTTTAGTCCATACTGTACATATTTTTCCTTAAATGCATTTAATCTAGAATATCTATTATTTTCTTGAATTACACCAACAACTCTTCTAACTAAAGTGATCTCATTTCTAAATAATTCAAGGCCACTCTTCACAATTAAATTATAAATATGACATGTACACCTAACATGAAATATTTCAGGAAGTGGTGGGTGTAGATGCAATTTTAAATTCTACCACGTGTCTACGAAGTTGACCCGTTCCCCCTGCCTTACCTCCGGTTTCATGTTTATAAACTTCCTTACAGATTTGACATCTTACATAATTTTTATCTTCTTCTAGTCTTTCAAAAAAATTCCAACACTTACTTGTTAATCTTCGATTTCTCTTAATAGGGAGGGGAGGCCTACCTGTATTACCACGACCTTCACCCCTAGTATTTTGAGTTTGACTAGCATTACCAGGTATAGTTGGTGGTGTTTCAAGATTATCAGGCGATTGAATATCATCTAAATTATCATCTATACCATAATTCTTTTGAAGTTGCTCATAATCTACATTTAAATTTTTAGGTGAACTTTCAAAAATATGTGTAAAGCTACTAGAAGAACCAGCACCACCTCTTAATTTTTTAGAAGTTTTACTCTTACTACTACCACCCCTACTAGTACACGTTTTTTTGGCTGCTCTAAATATATCTATTATGTAAATTAAATTAATAATTCTAAATAATAAAATAAAAATATACACTAAAGAAGAGAAAGAGATGAAACGAGTGTACCGGAATTTCGGGTGGTGCACTAAATTTGATATCAAACTTCAGTTGATAGACTGATACTTTATATTTGATGACATTGAATATTGATACCACACTTCATTTGAATACTTGATATTTGATAATTATAATTTTGTAGTGACTAAATTAAATATTTGATGAAACTTTAAATAATAAGTAATTGAGAATTTAAGAGCAAAAAGTAATATAATCTAGAGAGAAATAGAGTAGTAAGAGAGCAAACTGTGAGAAAAATAAAGAAGGGGGGCTATTTATAGATTTTAAAAGGTTAAAATTGTAAATTATTAATTACTAGGGGTGGAGGGGCTATTTTGTTTTAAGGGGGTAGGCCGAAATGGCCATTTTTGCAAAAAATGACCGTTGCCCAACAGTCATTTTTAAATTTGACTGTTGGCAACAGTCAAAACATTAAAAAAAAATTGACAACGGTAACCGGGCTGTAGCCCGGTAAAAACCCCGGTAAGGGGTAACCGGGTTCCGGGGCACCGGTTACTAAAACATGCTCGTTCAAGCTTGGCTCCCCCCCAACCCGTCCCACCTCTAGCGTACCGGGCTGACCCGGGCTGAACCGGGTCGAACCAGGTCGAACCGGGATGTTATTGGGTTGGCCCGACCCGATTAACAGGTATACTCTAAACTAACTTAACCACTAAAGCTGAGATAATTTTTAAATTTAGGAGTTTCAAGATGAAAGCATATTCATTAAATATTGTTCAACCCTAAATCCTTTTACAAAGAGACCATTCTCATTAACTAATCTCAGGGAAAAATTCTGCTTCTTTTCATGGCTTCTTCACTATCGTACTTTTTATTATTGCTGTGATTATGCTTGTCTTGAGTCGAGGGTTTATCGGAAACAAGCTCTCTATCTTTATAAGGCAG